TTATACTGTACATAAATATATATATATATATATAGTCTATATATATACACATACAATATATTCGATTATATACAATATTTCGATGTATTTCGTGAAAATTTCGATTTATTCGGCTACTGGTGAATATTTTAATGCTGTTCTTTATGAGAAATTGTACCAATTATAGGCCTATAAAATTACTTCTACGTAAAATGTAGAATTTTGTACATGTATTTGTAAATAATCATTGTCAAAATGTATATTATTGTCATTTAATAAATATTTTTTTTCTTATTTTTTTTTGGATGTTTTATCGGATTTATTGGTTTCTTCTTCTTCGTTAATTTCGTCTTTTTAGATTGCCAAACAGCATAAAAATGGCGTCGAAATCGTACCACTTGCATGCGCCTGGTAACGTTTACATACAAATGGCATAATGCTCTTGCAAACTACCAGAGATTTGCAAGCAGTTTGCATGAGTTTTTAGGCGTTAGATTTCAGTTCGAATGTGGTCATCACTTATACTAATTGTATAACTGCGTAACAAAGCCCATTTCATTGTTCTATCTATACTGGGGGGGGTGCACAGAGCATAGCTGCATCCCTAGACTCGTACCTAGGTAGTAAGACATTCCAGAACCCCCCACTATTCGTCACACTATTTAGAAGTGTTAGACTTATAACGCCTTCTTTGATTGTAGTAAAAGCCTGTCTGAACGTAGCCTTAGACACCCTGAAAATTCCGAGGCTTAGTGAGGCACACCCCTGAAAAACCGGTTAGTGAGGCACACCCCCCTCGATCTTCGGAATTTTCAGAAATGGCTTAGTGTTATTTTTATTAAAAATTTAGGATTGTGGACTTTAAACACAGTAATAATCTATAAAATGAATCATATAGAACATAAATATTGTGCCAAATATCACTTCCTTCAAGTTAATTTAGAACAATAAAGATTTTGATTCAATCAAAGAAACCTCCCGGATATTCTACTTATATAGAAATGCCAGACAACTCTGACGAAAGAATTGTGTCAGATGAATGAATAAAGATAATTCTACACCATAGAAAATATGTATTTTCATACTAAAACTAGATACAGTAGGGTACTCGAGCTTAGGAGCACCCTCTCAATTTTTCCCTACAAAAAAAAACAATGCTTGGCTCATTAAATTATAAAAAATAAAACTAAAATACACTTAATTATGTTTTATTGCATGTAAAAAGTAATTTTTACATAAAGTATATGACGAGAATATAAAAAAAAATGATTATAAAATATATAAGATAATTGTATTTTTTTACAGGATNCTAAATTTGTTTCTTATGTAATTATAAATATTAATTTTTCTACATAAAATAGTGAATTTTTTAATTAAAAACGAAATCATATCCTTAGAAAATAAAATAAATGAAAGGTTTATGTTAATAACAAAGTGCAAAGTCTTGTTTCTTTGACAAATAAAATTAATGTTACGATAATAATAACGACAAAGGAAATTTATTTCTTAATATTTTGTGGCTGTCTTCTTGTCTGACCTTGACGTTTTGACAAGAAAAATGTGCCGATTTTAAGCCATTATCAGGCCAATTATCATTGATGTATACTTAAAGACCAACGTGATCGAGTTGTTCTTTACTATTTAAGTGAATTATCATCAAAATAATAATACCAGTGGCTAAATTTGTGAAATTTTAAGATTTTCCAGCTGTTTTAAGTAAAAAATATCATTAGTAAACAGTATCAAAGTTAAATTTATAGCTCAATTTCGAATTTTTATCACTGAATATATGAACAAATTAATAGTCTACGCCACTGAATGTGTGGCCAAATAATCAGTCTTTTTGATTGAATGTGTGGAAAAATGATTAGTCTTCATCATTAATTATTTGGCCACACATTTAATGATAAAGACGGATAATTTTTCCACACATTCAATCATAAAGACTGATTATTTAACCCTACGTTAACTCTTTATGGTTGAATGTGTGGCCAAATTATTAGTCTTTATCAGTTAATGAGTAGCTAAACTATGACTTTCCCTTATTGAATATGACTCTTCATATTTGGCTGCATTTACGACTAAGTTACGAAGCTTCATTTCTGAATTTGTAGTTAAATTATCTGAATGAAAGTCATAATTCATCCACAGATACCACGTGTGATTATGACTAGAGAGAAGAGTAAGGAGAAACTCCCACATCACTGCACTTTCATTTGACTTTTCTTGTTACAAAACCCTAAAAAACGAGATAATAATTAAGATTTATAACAAATAAATTATCCGGATGTCCCTTTTCTGGTTGGTTAGAGTTACATAAATCGTATTTTTTTTTCTTCTTTATCTTTCTTTCCATTCAAGGTTAGTGGAAACAAAGAGTCAATGAAATAATTGCCCTTTTTTTCCTCTTTTAATGGACTCTCTATACACCATTCAACGTATAAATAGTTATATAAACGTTTAATACACTACAAAAATTACACATGTACAGTATAAAAGGATAAATACACGTATACAGAAGACTATTTTCTGTATATATACAGTGAAAGAATAAAATATTATTGGATTTTAATTTAAAAAAATACATAAATTTTTTGCTTGTAATGCTATAAAATTAGATATAAATGGTATATTTTATCATTTTCTATATATATGAAGGATGTGGGTTCGGATCTCTTAATGTATATATACAGGATTTATACTTAGGAATGTTGCTCATTAACAAATGTATAAACGTAAATAAATCGCTTCTCACAAGTTTCAGTGATGAAATTCGATGGTTTACCTTAATTTTAATGAAAATTTATGGTAAAGACATGTTTATAAGTCACTAAATTTGTTTCTTATGTAATTATAAATATTAATTTTTGATATGTTTTTATATAAATTAGGACCCAGCAGTTCATCATGATGAGTTCAGTGTATGCCCAGTTATTGGTTGTGATATGCGTGGTCTTTTACATCTGTGAAATTGTTTCACCTAAAGTCCCCCTCCTGTACTTTCAAGTGAGTTTAAATTTAAATTATAAGGCTTTAAACCATAAATTTACATTTAAATATGTACTTAAAACATGAAATTTTATCTATTTTTTAGGGGTTTTATCTGTTTTTATACTCCGTTAGTTTAATATTTCTCCTCTACATCTATCTGTATCTTCTACATTTCCCTCGAAGTCCCCCTTCGAATCCTCCTAACAAATCCTCTGGTAAGAAGGTTATCATCTTGGAAAGCTTAAGAAAAGGGGATGATAAACCACCAACTGCTGAAGTTGGAAATGAAACTCCTCGTACTCAAAGAGCCAAGAAGCAGAGAGTTTCCGAAAATGATAAGAGCCATGGGAGTCTTTTCTTGAGAATAGGAGCCATAGGTGAGATTTAACACGTAAAAAAAACTTATCCTGCAGCATTTAGATGCTTAATTCTTCCACTTTTTTTTAGCATTTGGACTTGGAACTATGGTGTACAATGGCCTAGAATTTGGCTCATTTTTCGAAATTCCATCGTCTTCTGCGTGTTATAGTGTGATCGTAGGGGTCAATCCTATCCTACAGATGGTGTTTACCTTTGTCCAGATGTATTTCATTTTTGTCAATTCTAGAGTAAGTACTTTCTCTGATATATCTTCTCTCGTCTCTTGTAACATGCCTTCTCTCATCTTTTTTGGTGTTTATTGTACTTCTAGCTGAATATTCACAAGTGTAAGGTGCTTGCAAGATTCGGTTTGATGCATATCGTGGCCACAAATATATGTGTTTGGATACGTACAGTGGGAAAAGAATCACTTCACGCCATTGTCGAGCATCACATGGAAACTGGAACGGGTTCTACATTGGAGGATCTCCTCTTACCATTGAGAGGTAAGCGCAAAATCTACTTCAAAATACATCTTAACTAACCTTTAACCTCTATTATAGTGTGCCATTACTTACATTTATCCATTCTTTTATAGAAAATTTTACAGGGAACCACTCGAATCCTTGTCAGAAACAAAACATCATGGGTCCTGTTGTAAACAGTTCTTCGGCTTTCCTGTACCCGTTTATAGTGGAGTACAGCCTAATTGGTGCTGCGGTTCTTTACGTTATGTGGGAAAACATTGGAAAAAATCCCGTTTATAGCAATCCCCCGTCAGGAAACGAAGATGGAATGTCTCATATTTCGACATCACGTAACGATCGTGTCAACTGCGCTGGATCTAGTAAAGGTTTATTTTTGGGATTGCTTCTCCTAGTTACGGCCATAATATTCCTCATCGTCTTCTTCGTCCTCATACATCACGAAAAGCATAAATTATTAGCTGTATATCTCTCAGAATTATCACACATTTCATTAATGATCTTGACCATAATTGCCATAATCATAGGTTTCTTTAGAATTAAATTATTAAGATTCCATTCCGAATGCACAGACCATCAGAGGGATATCTTGCTTCGTGTTGCAGCATTTGGTCTCTATGCTTATTCCATGTTTGGTATTATTGCAGGCACCTTTTCCTCTAAATCCTACACCCCAAATGTCTTAGTTTTAGTCACCAGTTGTTTAACAATATTGCAAGTAGCCATGCAATCGTTTTTTCTAGCTGATGTGACGTGTAGAACGTCCAGTTTGCCAGAACACGACAGAGCCAAACCAGGGAGGCAGATTGTAACCTTTCTAATGATAGCTAATCTAATCATGTGGATCATTTATACATTCGAGATGCAGAAAGTTGAAGCTAGTCCCGTTCAGATGGAGTTTTTTGGCTTCCTTGCTTGGACAGTCATCGTTAGAATCACTCTACCTTTAAGTATATTCTATCGTTTTCATTCTTTCATCACTTTTGCTGAAGTCTGGAAGAATTCTTACAAGAATGTAGCCTCTTAAATAGCCACGAAACGTATTTAAACAGAGTAGGAGCCCTTCAAAGTGGCTAGAATATCGAATGATACATTTCATGTCCGTCTTAGAAAGGAGCACTGCAGCACGCTGAAGCACTAGTTTTATGCGCTTCTGTTAATTAATTATATTCTTATCATCTAAATAATTAATTCCGTAGCTAAAAATACTTTTTTCTATGATATTTTTGTGAAGGAAAATGCATTTATATCATCAGAAAGATGACTTTCACGAATTCAATGCTGTATATCATGGTATATTATAAGGATGTTTACTAACAAATGTAGCGATGCGATTATGTAGTTCGAGATAAATGTTAACGAGCAAAAATTTCTAGAAAATAATAATAAATTCGGCCTTAAAAGGGAGACACGTTATCTGAAATAGCTCCTATAAGGAGGCAACACGCATAGCTTCGTGTGCTTACAGGAAAGCCGAAGCAAAGGCACCTAGCAACGACGTTTTATTTAATGAAAAATCACGTTAGTAGAGGCAACAAAATAACGTAAAAAATTAAAATAATAATTAATTTTTCTAAAAAATATGCTTTAAATGCTAAAATTTCATGATTGAATGAGTTATTCTCCTTCATCCAAAGCTATGCGTGCTGCCTGCTAACAGGGGCTGATTCTAGCTTCTTAACTGTTAATTCTCAATTTAATTTAATATATTTTTAACTAAACAAGCCTAATACGTAATAATTATCTAGTGAACAATGCCTAGTATTTAAAAAAATATATATATAAAAGATATTTCTTGTAATACTCATCAGTCGGCATCACTCGATAGCAAACATCCACGTTATCCTTTCTTAAAACATGAATAATTTTATTAATTACAGCAAAATATTCTTTATAATTTGAATATTCAAAGAATATTTCCGTTTATATATCAGAACGGAGCATTATTTATTAATTTCTCTGTATAAACTATGCTCATATATAAATATCAACTACCTAACTATTAAATATTATAAATATTTAATAGTTAATTAGTATAGAAATTCAAAAAAATCAACTATTTAATGAAGATATCGTTGATGTGAATATATGCTTAGTGTCTTATATGCTGCCACTTAATATTATAAACAGGCTAAGGCCAATGTCATGAAGCTCATATCCATTATATCTATTTAAACTTCATAAATTTCGTGAAAATTATAGAAAATTATGCGTATATCAAGATTATCTTCCATCTTTAGCTGTAGAAAAAGATGTTAGATGCAACAAACAAGCTTAGATTAAGCTTTAATTCGCGTAGATCAGCAATTAGTAATGTGTGTGTGTGTTTTTAGAGGCCTTTCCTCGTTAGTTCCTCCTCAAAATCATTATAAAATACATAAATATATATATATATTAAGAAGATGCGGAGCAAAATGATGTTAGGAAGATGAATATTTATCTAAAATCTTATACATTCAAGCTGTTAAAGATAGAGATCGAAAGCAGCTCGAATGCTCAACATATATATATATATCACACATCACTTCATAAAGATAATTTATAGCAGTGATGCTCATTATGCTCAAGATTTTTCCATTAATAACTCTATAATTTAATAAATCATGCATTATATAACATGTAAAGTGAATTGGAGAAGATGCTTATTGTTTAAGAATTTCATGGTTGTTGCCACATTCATTGATAAATGCTTAGAGTAGGGACAATATAAAACAATGAAGGAGGCTATAAGAAAAAGCATAAATTATTCTAAAAAGTTTAATTGTTTCCTCTTGATAGAGAGATAAACTAATAAATTCCTTAAGATTCTACTTAACTCTAGCAGATGAGTTGATGCTTTATCCATTATTAATGGTATAAGATCTATTAATTTGGTTGGGATAGTGGGTGCAGTATACATGTATGTCAATCTGACATCATCTTTTAAGTTTTAGAGTGAAAAATCCTAAAGAATCATATCAAATTTACTTTAAAATGCATGTTTTCTAACTACTCGAACAGTGTGAAATGCTTATAAATTTTAAACTGTATCACAATATGACCATCTTCTCCACTTTTCAATACATATAATAAATTATTATGCTTAATTTTAATATTTTAACATACAAAAGGTATGTTTTCTGATTGATTTTAGTAGAAATCTGCAATAAGAAATGTTAAGAAACTTGATTCTTGTGAGAGATACTTAAACAACCAACCAAAATCATTATTTTAATTAAAAATTTCAGCTTTAATTACCATACAAACCTATTAACAACATCATTTAACATCATTATCAACCCCAAAATCTTCAGTTTAAATAGAACTTCACACTTAATAAGCATAGAATGTATGAACTGATAGATGCTATCTTATGTACAAAATATATCTATCATCCTACCTCTTATATTTAAACAAATATAGCATTATATAAATATAAATATATATATATAGGCCTATATATAGTATTTAGAAGATTATTGACCTAATAACTGTGAATTGTCTACACTTTGTGATATAATATATATAAAAATCTCTAATATTCCTATTATAAAATGAGTATACCAATGAGTATATCATCATTATTAAGTGTGCTATGAGTAAAATATTAGTGCAATTTTCTGTGGTGCTCTAGATGTCATCTAAATAGTGTTATTCATTCATTTGGGAGTGCTTAAACCGGTGTTTCTCAACCCATAACATGCTGCGGACCCGGTACACAAATGTGTTCAACTTCAAGATAATTTATACATCTTTAACATGAAATAATCATCAAATTTCTTAATTAAATAGCTTTATTACCAGTTTTAATCACTTCATACATTAGCAGGTGAGACAATTAAGTCTCAATTCCCCCCCACTAAAGACTTCTAACCCAAATAATTTATGATTATAACTCTACATAATTAAATATATAGAATTCCTCAACTAGGGGATCGCGTGTCACAGTTTCACAATTTCAATAGCTTTATAAACCGTCGGTCTGTCTGACTGGCGGTTGAGAAACACTGCCACAAACGATCGATTTTAATTAAAAAATTAAGATGAGCTTTTTTCACGCATTTCTACATTTTAAAGTGTTAAATGTTTGTCTTTCTCTAATGGAAAATACAGCAAAATCATTAGCAATAGAAGAAGAAAAACAAAAAAAAAAAAAAAGTTTATTCATATCAAATCTGTATTAACTAGCAATAAAAGTAGACCTTCTATACACGTTCGTGTGGCATTTTTAATTGTATATCTTTAAAAAAATATGCTATATCTATTGTTATATATGTTTAATATATAGATTTTATCAACGAGAATGATACAGGGGTGCACAAAAAGTTACTTGGTGTAGCTTTAGACTGGAATAACTTATGATGTGTGAACGTTACAGACTTACAATTAACTCGGTTCGAAAGCTTAGTTAATGAAGTTTTTTTAAGGCATTTCGTGAAATATTCAAGAGAACCTTCTAATTCGTCAAAAACTTATATTTCGTTGGTAAAAAATGTTCTGGATTCTGGCAGAAAAGTCGCTTGTTGGGTCATTTTTGAGTTGCAATTACTAATGCGAGTCAACTGAGTAGTATCTAATTTACCTGAACAGTATCTGAGACACCCGAGTAGCATATAATGCACTTAAACATCCTGATAGATCCGAGTAGCATCTGATGCTCCTAAACATCATCTCAAGCATCCGAACTGTTGCAACAGATGATATACTCAGTGAAAACTTGCAGTCATAACATCCAGCACCTGTCAGACACGGTTGTAGTTATATCGAAGCGTTATATCGAAGAATACCCCTATATAGCGTAAAACTCCATTAATTAAGCTTACGATTAAAGCTTATTGTAAGCACGTATCTATACTTTCACGCAATTTATTAAAAGCTTAAAATGTCTAGTGACTTTTCGGGCATCCTCGTACTTTCACGCAATACTTCCATTTTAGAAACTCGGTACTCAATAATACTTTTTACTACTTCACCTTTGACCCTTTTTTTAAAAAAAGTTTCTTATTTAAATATTGCTGGTGCATATTTTTGTTAAATATTTTATAATTTTAAAATATTTTCTTAATATATTTATATCTACATAAATATATATATACACATACAATATATTCGATTATATACAATATTTCGATGTATTTCGTGAAAATTTCGATTTATTCGGCTACTGGTGAATATTTTAATGCTGTTCTTTATGAGAAATTGTACCAATTATAGGCCTATAAAATTACTTCTACGTAAAATGTAGAATTTTGTACATGTATTTGTAAATAATCATTGTCAAAATGTATATTATTGTCATTTAATAAATATTTTTTTTCTTATTTTTTTTTTGGATGTTTTATCGGATTTATTGGTTTCTTCTTCTTCGTTAATTTCGTCTTTTTAGATTGCCAAACAGCATAAAAATGGCGTCGAAATCGTACCACTTGCATGCGCCTGGTAACGTTTACATACAAATGGCATAATGCTCTTGCAAACTACCAGAGATTTGCAAGCAGTTTGCATGAGTTTTTAGGCGTTAGATTTCAGTTCGAATGTGGTCATCACTTATACTAATTGTATAACTGCGTAACAAAGCCCATTTCATTGTTCTATCTATACTGGGGGGGGTGCACAGAGCATAGCTGCATCCCTAGACTCGTACCTAGGTAGTAAGACATTCCAGAACCCCCCACTATTCGTCACACTATTTAGAAGTGTTAGACTTATAACGCCTTCTTTGATTGTAGTAAAAGCCTGTCTGAACGTAGCCTTAGACACCCTGAAAATTCCGAGGCTTAGTGAGGCACACCCCTGAAAAACCGGTTAGTGAGGCACACCCCCCTCGATCTTCGGAATTTTCAGAAATGGCTTAGTGTTATTTTTATTAAAAATTTAGGATTGTGGACTTTAAACACAGTAATAATCTATAAAATGAATCATATAGAACATAAATATTGTGCCAAATATCACTTCCTTCAAGTTAATTTAGAACAATAAAGATTTTGATTCAATCAAAGAAACCTCCCGGATATTCTACTTATATAGAAATGCCAGACAACTCTGACGAAAGAATTGTGTCAGATGAATGAATAAAGATAATTCTACACCATAGAAAATATGTATTTTCATACTAAAACTAGATACAGTAGGGTACTCGAGCTTAGGAGCACCCTCTCAATTTTTCCCTACAAGAAAAAAACAATGCTTGGCTCATTAAATTATAAAAAATAAAACTAAAATACACTTAATTATGTTTTATTGCATGTAAAAAGTAATTTTTACATAAAGTATATGACGAGAATATTAAAAAAAAAATGATTATAAAATATATAAGATAATTGTATTTTTTTACAGGATGCTCATGATCTATTTCTTATACATTTATTATATTTTTAAAAACGTGGCAGAAAAATCTCTAAATCCACGAAAATTCAAGTTTAAAAAATACATATCGAAGCTGCTTGCATGCTTAAAATACTCGCGTGTTGGAATTGCTTGTTACGTAGAAGAAACTATGCAACTAGCTTGCATGAAAGCTTAACTTAGTTTCAGAAATCTTCCAAGACTTTGTATGATCTTTTCCAAGATTCCATCAAAGATGCGGAGGAATGGAATCTGTAGAACACAACTAGAGGAAGAGCAATTCGAGAAAGTACACCCCACGGTAAATCGCCATAGAATTGCATTTGCAGTTGTGTTGCCAGGCGGTCCTGTGTTAAAAACGACTCCATCAGCCACAATACCAAATTAGCAAATACCAAAAAAGTCACTATTTGACGGCCCGGTTTAGATCTGTTGAATTCGGTATTTGGACTACTGCTTTTCCTTCCCACCTGATGAGCAAAGAGGGACTGAACACAAGCCTGTATGACCATGAATGCCCCATCTAAAAACAGAATGATATAACGAGAGCTTAGTAAATTGGTACCACCAACGATCATGTTCAGGAAGCCAAAAGCAAAGACTGCAAGAAGGCCCACGTTTTGCAAGAGGCTGTGTAGTTCCTGAGGCTTGCGTGATCTCGTTCGTACTTTGTGTATTTGAAAGATACCAAGAATAGTCGCCAGAGCCGAAATTATCAATACGGCGCAGTGCATTGTGGTCAGTGCTATAATAGTGTCGTACTGGAATTTCTTTTCGTGTGACAGTACGAAGAATAGAATCAGGACAATGATCCCTGCGACTAAGAGGAGTAAACCCAAGAATAGCCCTTTGCTCGATCCTTGACAGTCAATATTCAGATTGCCAAATGATTTCCTACGTTTTGTAATTCTTGGATCGTAATCTACTGAACTACAAAGGGACTTTCTGGATACTCTAGTGTTATCCAAATTCTCCCATAAGAAGTAGATGACGGCAGCTGACAACAATGAATATTGTACGATGCAAGGGGATAAGTAAGGTAGAGATTTCTCCCATATAACTCCAATAGATGTATTTTGCAAACAATAATAAACTTCCAGAACATCTTCCATTGCTTGATCGTCAGTTCTGTGCCACCAACAATCTTTAGACCCTAAATTTGTGGATAAAACTCGTATAGTAACCAATGAAAACTAGGGATATCTCTAGTGTAATAAAGGAAATTTGACTTACAGAAAGAGATGTGGCCTCCTTTCTTGTCTAAAGTATGCAAAGAAATATTGGGATTTCTAGTAGGATCTGGAAAATTTAATGTTGCATTGTGGTGGAAGTGGGTCACTTGCATCCAATAAAACGAAGATTCGAAGAAGAGTAGACGTAGCCATATTGCTAAATTAGCTGCCATTAAATGCATGAGAGCCACGTGACGGAACCATCCCAATGCTTGTAACAAATCCTGTGTGCAAGAGGTGTACGTGATAAGATTTCAATCAATTTTGGGTAATTTAGGACAAAAGAATGTCTACTCACTTGAGCATTCATAAAGAGGAAATGCATTTGAAGAAACGTGAATAAACCACGAAGGAATGGTTGTGCCAAGTTCAGTTCGTTCATGCAATTATCTTCTATGGTGAATATCGTTCCTATTTCTAGTCCCGTTGATATCAGTGTTCCAAGTCCAAATGCTGTAAAATAAACAAAAGAAAATGTCACTTTGGAAGGATATTTCTCAATTTAAATAAGCAAAAATTAAAAGATCCAACTACATAATATATCAAACTCGAAGATCGCGATGCATTCCCATCTTTAAAGTTGCAAGGATACGAATTTGACACTATCATGTTGCTTTACATGAGCATCCTCAAGCCATAAAAGAGTTATCTGGACACTGTTATCATCATAAATTGAGATGATATTGGATCGTTCCTCTTTCAAAACCTGCCCATAAGTGCCCGAGTGGATAACACCACTGAACAGTGGTCGTGTGTTTGCGCTTCGTCAACGTGCTGTTTTCCGGGTTTCTTCGCGTTTCTAACACCTAAATAGGAGCCATTTTCCATTGAAAATCCTCATAATCCTCATTGAATAAATATTTTCTGTGGTTTCTTGACTTGAAGCACGAACCAAGATCATTTTTACAAGGTCAATGCCATTGAAGGTTAAGATTTTTGGAAATGGTTATTAATAATTACTTCACACGCAGATTCCTGTCTGTAACGCAATGAATTGACTAATTCATTTTTAATGAATTAATTGACGTGGATGATGTCTTAATTACGTGATTAATGAACTTCATTGCCACCGAGAACATTTCTTGTAAACCCAAGAATAGCCCTTTGCCAGTCTGTCTGAAGTCGTTTCCCATTTTTCAAACTCGTGCCAACACACCCTATCCTGGGTCAGCCCATTAGTCATGGGTAGAGTTGTGGCAGGACATATTTTTAGTTGAGGAATAAGAGCAATAATTTCAACCTCGTTTATATTCTGTGCGGCAAGACCGCTGCTGATCCGGTTGAAAAGCTACCCTCCGTGGATGTTCAGACGAGCAGAGTGCCGAATGTCTTGGTTTTTTCCAACTTCCTGTGGACCCAACACAATAGTTATTTCAGGTCTCGTGCTGGGTGACCATTCTACAAGAGACATAACTGATTGCCCATTGATTTTTTGGTTAGATAGCCATTTTATCGCAATAATAATCCTCCATATGCTTCTTCAAGACCGAATTGCCCTTGATCCCCACCTTTAGAACCTGTGTTCCGAATCTTAAACGCGATTTTCAATGCTAAATCTGTCCTATATGCACTTGTATGGCCCGTCATGGGTCGATCAGGCCCATAACGATGTTAAATGAGGGACGAGATTGGACGTATCCGGATCAACTCACCCATGAAAAAATCACATTCAGATCAATTTACAAGTGACTAATCTAGTGATTAGTCACCCGAATATAGGAAAAAATATATAATTAAACTACATAATAATGATTTTACGGAGGTGCTAAACACAATTTAAAAAAAGTATGTCGAAATTATTTTTATAATAAAGTTCTAACTGTGTGTGGCAACCCGAACGAATCCTTATTGTTTACTCGAAGATTAATACACCAAATCCATCTTTCGGTAGGTCACGCTGCTTAGTCATAAGGATATGAACGTTTATCAACCACACCCAACTATTGTATAGCCGTGTGACGCAGCTAACGAGGGTGGTAATTCTAAAGGGTTGTAATAATTGTAAAGGATTCTCTTACCCACGGCTCCTAATCTTAAATAGATGTAAATTTCAGAGCTGTAGTAGCAGGTTTTCTTCTTGAAGGGTGCCAGGTCGTCGTTAACGTTATCCGAGCGATCCCCACCTGTCAAATTCGGGCATTTATCCACCATCATGGTTATGTATATGCCCAAGAGGCATATAATCGCTCCACCAACTATGAACGTGTAGAGGTAACCCTAGATTAAAGAATAATTTGGATTAAATTGCCAAATTTAGCCAAAGAAAGGGAAATTTTATCGTAGTTTTCATACGTGAAAGTAAAATAGGGATATTTGGTTGTCGAGGACTTCGCTGAACGTCATAATGGCCGATGCCACGATCAGCAATCGAGCGTATAAACTGCTTAACAGTCGAATGAGCTCCGATTTCGTCTTGTTCCTATGGTAAAAGAACCTTATAAATGGGATTATTCAATAGAAATTTAACTTAAAAAAACGTATTGTTTGAACCTGTTTGAACGACGTTTGGGAATGTCGAGTTCGCCATTTTTGTCCAAACACTCTCCTGCCGGTAGTGTTGCTGCATTTGTTTTTTCTGTGGAGCCGATATCCGAGGCGCTGCTACCTCGTGAGGGTGGTGACGTTACGTCGGGTGGAGGGGGAAACGAAGGTGGGGGTGGAGGAGGAGGTGTCATTCCCGAAAGAGGAGTATCAGTCTTCTCTGTGTTTAACTTCTTCGTATTGTCCTTGTCTTTGTACATTTCGTGTGGTCTGTGATATCTTGACATCTTGCTACGATCTGTAACGTGAAAAAAGTAATTAATAGCGTATGGACGCATACATTAACACGTACGAATCAGCACGTAAGTACAGGCATACAAACGTACTATAAGTTAAATGATTTATAACGTAAAGAAGTCACATAAAAGCGTAACAATTTACGTACCGTTACGTTATTGTTACGCTCGTGTAAACATTAGACTCACTTTACTAATTTAAACTTAATTTTAATGGGATAAGGACATGAAATGGTAACTAAACACAGCATTTTTTAATACAATACCATCTCTGAATCTCCCTCTTCCTATCTGGGTCTAAGTTTCTTTGTGTACGTGCATATTTTGGTAAGGATAAAGAATTCGAGGGAAAGGGAGACGTAGGGAGTTTCCCTCTTCTGTTTTATATTAGGGAAATTTCTATTCCCTATTATGCCCTAGGAGTCAGCCTGGATGGATCCGAACCCACGACTTTCTTCCTCAAAACAGTGCCAAGTCAGAATAGCCTTCGGTAGAGCAGTTAATGCATTAAATTTAGTTTATTGTCCCTCATTTAACAGATAAAACACCAGTTTAAATAAGGACTTACGCAACTCTGTATAAGGTCATTGCTGTATATATTTAAGAGGCAAACACAGTAAAATGATTTATAACAGATATTTTAATTCGAGAATTTGTAAATATTAAACAATTATAAACGATATTTTTTGAACAATATCACATCCGTATAACGATTTTAACTGCCAACCGTTTGTCGAATTTAAACAATGTATTATTGAAGACAACGACCTAAACTGCCAATTCAATTGAATAATTCGAGGGAGAACAATGAAGATACAAGTATTTATCGTAATAAACCTTGACAGATATTTGATTTTTAAATCCTATTATTAATGCAAGGGAGGGAGCATCTTACATTGTTGCTACGAAGTTCCTCCTTTAAAACCAGAAGGATTTTTACATACACAGCTGTATTTTCTGTGTTTAAATATAGTTTAATGCCTCTCGTTACGTTTTATAAAATAATTGATGTAAATTAAAGCAAAATATACACAAATTTGGCATGGATCCAACGCAAGTAGTCAAGAGAACAATCATCTTAAGAGGGAAGTAGTTAAGTTGGTGCTTTGTATTAAAGCCTTTAATATTAAGAAAATTTCTATTTTAAGAAGTTAAATTTTATTCAAATTCTATTTTTTTACTTGCAGAAAATTATATTAGGGCTGAAATTTAAGCAATTCCTTCTTAATTTAGGGCTAGAAAGTCGTGCTTTCGAGTCGGTTTTTCTCAGCATCACTGCATCTAACAGGGACATAAGATAAGCAAGCTCTAGGGTCACCAACTAAAAGCCCTCTTATTATTTACTGTAAGGAAAGGGCCACTAAATCATAAGTTTCTTTGGAGTGGAGAGGAATGGAGATGATGATTATGGAGAAGAATGGAGATGATGATCGTGGAGAAGAATGGAGATGATGATCANCTTTTTTTTACAGTAATCGCTAGGGAAACCAATATGGCGCCGCAATGATGGCATTGCACTTGTTTTTTACCGTTTTAAAAATTATTTTTAAAAAAATACATGAAATCTAACAATAGCTTTAAGGAGAATTGAGGTATTATCATTATAACAAATTTTCTACGAAATAATAAGTTATATTTAATATTTAAATCTCATTTTAACTGTTTTCTACATGAAATTACCTACATTCCTCACCCATTTATAAAAAGAATTATAAGTTCCTCTTGAGTAGCATCCGACTTGAAGCATCATAAAACACTTTCCAACTCTCTTACACCAAAGTATCAAAATTAAGAATGGATATTTGGCAATTCGTAACATGCTAATGCAGAAATTTCATAAGAAAAACTTCAATAGAAGAGAGAAAATTAAACATTCTAACAACTGTTTAAATAATAATAAACAGTTTTGTTTATTCAGGTGGAAGAATTTCTAGGAAGCAGACTGAATTTGAAGTTTATCAGACTTTGAGGAAGGAACTTTATCCAGACACGTAACACCTGCACTACTTTAACAAAGACCACACAATTGCGTTAATATGAAGACAGAAAACAGACATTTTCGTGTCATCAAGAAGAGATTTTTTTTTCCTAAAAGCCTTCATTTGTAATCCATTCGTAGAAGTGGTTGTGTTGCAATCAATTGAAAAGGAAAATAGGATCTTGTAATGAAGAGTTTAATTCACCACGAATGTCCTGCATGTCCACGAATGTCCAAGAAGGAGCAATGAGTTATAATGATTTTCGTACAGGATTTAAACCTGAAATAATGGAAATATATTATTATTAATTAATCATTAATGGCTCTTGAACATTCTGCAAACCACTTCACTGTCAATAACGTGGAAATCAAGATGTTATTTAAAAATATGTGGTCATCATCTCTTTTGTTCTGGAATGTCTTATCGAACCGTCTGCAAGATGATCAAACAATTACTTATAGATATACAAGCATTTGTTTGTATCTCTGAACAATAATCTCTTTGAATATCCTAATTTTGTCTGATGTTAACACAACTATTCTTCTTCTTTGAGCTATATTTCTAATTTGTATATTTAAGTTCTGCATCTGTTTAATGTTATTTTTGATATTAAGTTTGTGTTTAGTTTTTTTTCTTTCTTCCTGTTGGGACCAGACGTTCTCGAACAAACACTTATTCCGCACTTTCACGACTTTCAAGTCTTGCTCATTACAATGCAATATTCAAGAGACAATGTTCATTTAGGATCTTTGCACCTCATCAGTTGCCATTTAATTGTATTTTTAGTGTTGTTTGCAAGTCTCACGTTGTTCATGGGCACAGTTGAATTTGCTCAGAAACTGAACGAGCCGCAGCTCGGAGCATGGCGTCGTGGCCTTAGGGCCTCACAATTTTTATATCTACCTGGTGGAGGGAAAGGCCTGTTATATGTTCTAGCTTAAGTCCACAACAAACAAGATCTCGCTCATAAAAAGCATTTTAAACTCGAAAATCTTTGAAAATTCATCTTAAATTACATTCAGCCACTCGAGAAGCGGAAACACACAACGAATTGTGGAGCAATCTCTGACTAATTTACGAATAAATTAACGCATTTGTGTTACAACATGCAAATCTCTAGTTACGTGAGAGCACGTCTGCTCGTGCAGCGGAGTAAAATTTCCTCTTCGAATCGTCTCGCAACCCTCCCAGACGTTACATTGTTTGGGTGGTTCCGAGAAGGCGGTTCCCCTTAATTTAATTTTTACTTCCATTCTTCGGGTTCATAAGAAAGGGAAAGTATGAAAAGACAAACAAAACGGATGATTGCCTCACTTCATTATCGAGGACCATTCATAATCGTTGGAATAATTCCAGAAAGGTCTGACGATGCATAAACTGTGTACGTGCTGACGTACGGAAGGTATCGTATGAAAGGTAAATATGAAAAAAGTCATTTGGAGAGAAGACATGGAGGAACTCAAACCACCAAAAATGCCCTTCCATCGGAGGTTGTCTCATTCTTTGGCCTTTATGAATTTCTTATCTACGAAGTCTCATTGCAGATTCGTAAACAGTCGGTGAGTCAATCGATTTATTTGTGTTTTATCCGAATTTTTTCGGTCCTTTTGTGGTTTTTTTCTCTAAAAAATTCGAGTTTGTGATGTTTTCATTTTTTTTTTTGGTGGAATTTATTTCAATTATCGGGTGTAAACATCAAGAAAATTTAACTTTTGGGCGCTTTTCTACCTTATTTTTTGGTGAGGAAAATCCGAATTTCTTTGTTTTCTTTGTTAGGAAAATGTAAATTAATGTGGAAAATTGAAAAGGGAAATTTCTCTTTCATTTGTTTTTTCTTTTCATTTGTTGTCTTCAATTTTTTTGAAGGAGAGAGTAAAATTTTATGTATGTAGTGTGGAGGGGCAGGATTTTGTTTACCCACTTTGAAGCTTAATAACTTCTGTTCCCTTTGTCGAAAATTTCTGAAATTTTGTAGGAAGGTTTGTGTATTAGATGGTTTGATGCTGTCAAAGTTTGGTGGTTAAAGGTCAAGGGGTTGGAGAGATAGAGGGGATCGCGTATCGTATCTCGAGTGAGGTGGGAATTAATAATATTACTCGTTATTAGTATTTACAAATTTTTTATAAAACACATCTCTACCTTCAAAATTAAGCTTTCTGCCACTTTCTAACAATTAAAAATATAATTTTTTTACAAAAAAACTCGTAACAGATGGCGTTACACACAATTTTAACTTTTTTGCCGGAAAAGTTAAGCAACTGGTCGCTGAATTAGTATTTTTTTTTCATCACTGAAAATAATTTATTTTCTGGAAAAAAAATGAAAAATGCCAACTTTATTATAGAATATAAAACTGTAATTTTAAGAAATATTCAATTAAATATTTGTAATTTATTATTTTATCACAATTAATTGAATTGACACTAAAATGTCTTAATTTATACTGAAAATTTAGCGTATAGAAAATGAATAATTTTAGTTATTTTATGGAGAATTTATAGTAATGTTAATGAAGTAGAAGGAAAATTTCATGTTTATTTTCAATATTTTAAAGCAAATTTACACGAATTTTAGGGAATTAAGAGGTAAATTTACACGAATTTTAGGGAATTAAGAGGTAAATTTACACGAATTTTAAAAAATTAAGAGATAAATTTACACGAATTTTAGGGAATTAAGAGGTAAATTTACACGAATTTTAAAAAATTAAGAGGTAAATTTACACGAATTTTAGGGAATTAAGAGGTAAATTTACACGAATTTTAAAAAATTAAGAGGTAAATTTACACGAATTTTAGGGAATTAAGAGGTAAATTTACACGAATTTTAAAAAATTAAGAGGTAAATTTACACGAATTTTAGGGAATTAAGAGGTAAATTTACACGAATTTTAAAAAATTAAGAGGTAAATTTACACGAATTTTAGGGAATTAAGAGGTAAATTTACACGAATTTTAAAAAATTAAGAGGTAAATTTACACGAATTTTANATTAAACAATTATAAACGATATTTTTTGAACAA